AATAGACGAAATTATAATCGTCATCATTGTGATAATGTAGAATAATTAAGGATTACTCAAAATAATCCTTCACTCTGTGAAAGTATATTTGTCATCGATTTGATATAAGATTTCGTAAAGCACATACAGATGCTTATGGTCCATTCATGATGTGAATGTGATAAAATCTGATTTATGAATATATATTCATTCTTGGAAGAATATGAACGTGCTAGTGGTAGTGAATATACCACACTCACCTCTAGAAGGAGGTTTGAGATGATATAAGAAAATAATGTCATTATTATGGCATGAATGGTCATTGGTCACGTACTTATTGTACGCCAAAATATTTTGGCATTGTGATTGTTAAAAGACAACGGTAATGCAAGAAACATATCTTGCATATAATTTTGACCATACCCATAATGGTATAACTTTCTCTTTAAAAGAGATATTCACCATATGGATGTTGATGAATATGTGGTAGTACCAAATTAATTGAGAGCTCTGGAAGAGCCAATTATTACTATTTTGGAGAAACACAATTGATTACCAATAAGGTATTGTGTTGTAGTAAGTCTCAAAGAAACTTATTCAGTTTCCAAAGTATACGCGAAAGCGGTTGATTATATTGAGACTATAAATAAAGGAAAGATTTAATATCTTCTATTACTACAACTTGTAGCGGGATAATATATATGTGAAAAGCTACCCGCTTTATTCTCCAGTTTGTACTACACAAATAAAAGAATGCCACAATAAAGAGAAGTTTATTGATATAAAAACCCATATCATAATAAACTTGGAGTTTATTGATAATTGCACACGTCATGGTGTAAATCTAAAGTTTATCAATATTGATAATTTATTCAGTTGGCATAATTGGTTTAGCCATGTTAATTTTAGTATGATGTGCAAAAATAAAAGAGAATTCACATGGGTAAATATTAAAGAACTAGAAAGTTCTTTACGAATTCTCTTACATTGCTTGCTCTCATTAATTCTCTTACTTTATAAAATCTCATGAGAGATTCAGGTACCTGAATATATGAATGAAGAGATCTCTATGTTATGTCTTTATGTAAAATAAGGAGGTTAGGAACCGATATAAAATGTTTGTCGACGACATCTATGATAGCGCTAAATATATATATATGAGGATCTTAAGTCTGGAGAACAATTCAAGTAGAATTGGTTTCATATGAAAGACATGTAGTTTTGAACATGTAGTTCAAACACTTGAAAGTATAAAGTCAATGGTATGTACAATCAGTTTTCGATATCTTATATGTCTAGCATGACATGAAAACTTGATATGCATCTAAAGTCTATTATATGACTTAACTTATATGACAATCCTTGAAGGATTTAAATCGCTTAAAGCATATACAATTCTTGGTCCTGAAGTACCATATCCTAAATGCAATTTGTGCACATATGTATCTTGCTATAACTATAAGCATGATAATGTGATAGCGAGAATACCTCTATGGAGATATTGAAAGCCATTCCACGACATTATATGAAGACATTATATATCTATCAAGAATGATGATTTCAAGGTGCAATATATTCATTCAAGTTAATATGCCTGATTTGTTCATCAAATCTCTACCAAAGATCTTTTGAAGATGGTGCACAAGATTGGAATGCAAATGCTTAAGGATGTGAATTGATGCTCTCATCAGGGGGAGTTAATACGCGTTGTACTCTTTTTACCTTACAAGGTTTTGTCCCACTGGATTTTCCTTGCAAGGTTTTTAACGAGGCAACCAAAAGGCGTATTTCTAAACATGTGTACTCTTTTTCCTTCTCTAGAATTTTTTTTCCCACTGGGTTTTATTTAATTAAGGTTTTAATGAGGCACATTATCTGTTGAATAGACATTCAAGGGGAGTTTTATAAATAAAATTCTATTTATGGTGAATGTCTATATTTAGAGAGATTCTTGGGTTTATTACTTGGTGGCTAAGTCACCCTCTCCCTATAAATAGAGGGTTCTATTCTATTGTAATTCATCCAATATCAATAAGAATTCTCTCTCTACTTTTCTCTGCAATACTCTTGTTCTTCATTTATTGTTTTATAACATATAGAGATTTATATTATCTCAAATCGAAGGAGCTCTTAGAAGCTTGTTGAAACCAGTGGTGATTCTCCATAGGCAAAATACATACTTTACCCATCGACCTTGTCCCCAAATCCCTCTTACACACCTGTTAAAGACGGGAATCATATTACACACCAAAACTTTTAAATGTGTGTCAATTACACACGACTTCGGTGTTTAGCCACATCTGTTTAAAGATTGTTATTACACGCGCCAATCAACATCTGACATGTGTCATAAATCGAAAAAAACTGAAAAAACCTCTGCCCCCCCTCCCCCCCCCCCCACTCCACCCCCTCTCCTCATCTTCGCAAAGAATAAAATACAGAAAAGAAAAAATCCCACCCCCTCCTCATCTCCCCAATCCCATCATCTTCTCCGCCACCACCATAGTACCACCAACCCTTCCACTACAAGCACCTTTTTTCCTAACTATAGATTCAACTCTTTGCCCGATTTTTAACAAGTTTTAACAACATCCATCCCTGCAAGTCACATAACCACAAATACAGACACAAANCTTGTTAATGGTGTTTTTTGAATTTTATCAAAATTAATCACCTAAGTAAATTTTTATTCAACAATAATTATGAATTCAAACTAATTTTCTATGTCATGGAACACCAAAATCAACAAGATCCAATTAAATTTTCAAGCTTTTTAAAAGGTCAATAATAATGATTTTTACAAGACCCAATAGCTCCTCTTTTCTTCTTCTTTTTCTTTTTCTTCTTATTCATGGGGGTTGGTTGGAAAGACGAAATATGAGGAGAGTAGACAAAACTAGGATGGAGGTTAGGGAAGAAGACGAGGGGGTGGGGGAACGTTGGGGTGTGGGTTGGGGAAGAAGACATGGGTTATTTTTTTTCTTTAATTTGGAGAGAAAATAGTTAAAAAAGGGAAAAAATAAAAAAGAAAATTAATTTCAGATGAATTTTGTAGTTTTTATGTGCCTCTTTTATGTGTAATACACGCGTGTAACACATGACAAAAGAGGTCTATAATAGATACACTTTTAAAAGTTTTGGCATGTAATACTATTGCCGTATTTAACAAGTGTGTAAGAGGGATTTGAGTACAAGGTGGATGGGTAATTTATTTTGCCTTCTCCGTACAAACTTCCTTATGTAAAAATATTTTAAGTTCTTTGACAGTGGATAAATATTATAACTACCACTTGAATTGTAACACTTGTTTATAACAATCACCATATATAGCTTAGAAATTTTGAGTAATAAGTATTAATCAATTAAACTGAATTAATAATATGTGTAACTTAAAGCTTTTTAATGAAAGCCACACGAAGTTTAGGCGTGGTGCGTATGGATAAGCTGAGTGGTGGGCTGCTTATGCAATGAAATCTGGACATGGCCACTGCAACTCTTGCCTCCCACCACCTCCATTTCTGCTTCTCCAAATTTTCAATTACTAACAGAAGAAGACAAGTATGGCTAACTTATCCAAACAGAAATCCTCTTTCAATAGTCTTTTGTTCTTCTTCTACTTCGCCCCCTCCGCCATCAGAAGTTAGTGAACCCAGTACTCCCACTGCGGAGTCTTGCGTCAATGTGGGCCTCGACCTCTTTTCTAAAGGACGGGTATCTTCCTACTTCTTTTCTCAGTTTCATGGCTGTAATTCCTCTAATTGTTTTATGGTTATTGACACTTTTGGTGTTGTAATAAATAAATAGATAGAAGTTCTTTTTTGTTATTAATTTCAGGTGTTTTCACTAAACTTTACCCATTGTATCATAAAAGTCACAATTTTCCCATTGAGTGAATCTTATGGTGACAGACTGACAGTTGCACTCCTGCTGGGCTGAATTAACACTTAAAACTCATCCTTGCGATGAAATGTTGAGTGTGGACTTTTTTTTTCCCTTTGCAAATGATCACTGTTCTTAATGTTTTTAAATTTTTCATCCCCATTTCATGCATTATCTGTTACTAGCTTTGTAAACTATCAAAAGGACTCCAGAAGTGCAGATTGTTTTTTTCTTGACCTTTTCCAAAGTCATGTCACAAGTGTATAACAAAGAAATTAGTTATTCATCCGACTCAGTTTATATGACATAGTTTGGCTTTTGGAGTCAAGAATTAACAATTTTGTGGTTGATGTCAATGTCAACTAACTCACGTTCTGACAGTGACTTTAAAAATGGGAAGGCACATTTAGATGTTATCTGTAGCACAACTAGATTTCAAGATACTTATGAGCGGACTTTTATAATAATGATAAGATTGTAAAGATAACCTCAAATGGCCTCACATAACTTAGATGGATGAACTAGGAAGTATTAGAATCAGAAAACAAGTTCAGTAAGTTTTGATAAGGTTTTGTTGGAGTTGTCACTCGGTGCTTGCTTGTTTATGCTGCAAAGCATAACATGTTCTGTTTAATATTATGGAATCAAGAACATAGGTGCATTTATGAGATTAGGAACTGCCATTTCTGTTAATTCGAGCTAGTAAAATAGCTAAGGCATTTTCCTTACCTTTATGGCTTTGCTGCTTAGAGTTTGTGCATTCATCTCTTATTTTACACTTCTGATAACATCACACACTCTGTCTAAACATGCCGAAGAAGAATGCTTTATGTGCATGATGGATAAGTACCACTACCTTGCATGTGACATTACATTCCTTGTGTCACAGTGATATGTCTATTCGTGTACATAGCAAAAGATTGATGATCCAAAGATTTACCTACTGAAGGAGTTTTTCTATTTATAGTCTTGTATGCATCAGCAGCTTGTATGTCTTGAGTATAGTTTCTTGTGTATCTCTATCTGATCCTGCATAGCAAGCTTAAGGATAGCATCTAGAAGGTTAAATCGCTGTTATTACTGGAAAAATCAATTTTGTTAATGTCTTTTCAATTATTTGATCGAATTTTCTTTTCAATTTTAATCAACAATTTTTCTTTTGCAAATTTCCTAATTTTAAACCTGTTAATTTGCTTTTCTTTTTATTTCCCACTTAATTGTTAATTTGCTTTTCTTTATATTTCCCACTTAATTGTGTCCTCAATGTTCTGTGTTTGTGTAACAAACTTTCCTACAAGTTGGTTACAGACCCTTTTGGTTTGGTTTCAGTCTGCAGTATGAGAAATACATACCATCTTGATTAATTAAATTTTAACTTTCCAGGTTAAAGACGCTCTTGTGCAGTTTGAAACAGCACTTACTTTAGATCCCAACCCCATCGAGGTTCAAGCTGCTCTTTATAATAAAGCATGCTGCCACGCCTACAGGTAGATTTATCCGTTGCCTCTTTCATGGTTGAATTAGTTAAGCTGGATAACCATTAATTTGTTTGAAGCCATGTTGAGGAGAAAATATTCCTGAGTTTCTTATCTTATGAACTGCAAGTAAATGAACCTAAAATTTCTTAATCACAGTTCTTAGCTTAATTGTTTCATTGGAAGGATCACTAAGAACAATGTTGAAACTTCAAAGAACATCACAAAGTAGCTTAGTTTTTTTATTCTGTTTCTTCACTCTTTTAATATTTATATATTTTCTTTATTTTCTAAGAGGGGAAGGAAAGAAAGCTGCTGACTGTTTACGGACTGCTTTAAAAGAGTATAACCTAAAGTTTGGCACAATCCTTAATGATCCGGATTTGGCGTCCTTCAGATCATTGCCTGAATTTAAGGAACTACAGGAAGAGGTTTGTTCCCCGCTGATGGATATAGTTCTTTAGTTATCATCATGCTTGGATGTATGAATTAATTTCATTTCTTTATCACATTGATTATGTGATTATGTTATTGGTATCTTAACTTAGCAAGGCTCTAGCTTTATTTCATTGTTTCTGAATCTCATAGTCTTTTATTACCTCACAGGCTAGGTTAGGAGGGGAAGACGTAGGGTACAGTTTCCGTAGAGACCTTAAGCTCATCAGCGAGGTACAAGCACCATTTAGAGGGGTCAGAAGATTCTTCTACGTGGCATTCACCGCTGCTGCTGGAATTTCTACATTTTTCACTATACCCAGGTTAATCCGTGCAATTCAAGGTGGAGAGAGTGCTCCTGATGTTGGGGAGACTGCAGGAAATGTTGCTATAAATGTCGTTGGTAAATAATGACTGCACTTGCTATGGATTGTATAGTTCACTTCTGAAGTTCTGTAAAATGATGTTTACTTGGTATATTAATTAACGCTTCTTAATGGAAACGAACTGTTTCTCAAAAATGATTAAGCTCTTGAACCAGCACTCTGCAGGTATTATTGTTTTTGTGGCTTTGTTTCTTTGGGAGAACAAAAAAGAGGAGGAACAGCTTGCACAAATATCACGTGATGAAACACTATCAAGGCTGCCTTTGCGCCTTTCAACTAATAGGATTGTTGAACTCGTCCAGCTAAGAGACACCGTGAGGCCTGTTAGTGAGACAACTTCCCCTTTACTCTTGCTGTTTTCAATTTCCAGAAGTTAGTTGAAGTTGAGTAGAAAACATCAGTAGGAGTCCTTCAATTTATCACTTAAAGAATGAGAAGTCCTGTACAACTCTTATCAGGGTCACATGTCTAGTTCTTGTTTTCACATATTCTGCTTAATAGATCAAAAGAAATGGTTTACCTCTCCTCTTAAACAAAGAAGAAAGCTTTTCCATCACATTTATATTGTCGGAGGGATGATGACAGAAAAGTTAGTTCCACATTTTGCTAGGTTTGCGACAAATGCCTTTTTTGAATGAGCAAAAAGATATCCCATTACGTATTTGTTCTCTTTTTTTGTTTTGAAATTCCTGACTTGAACATACTTTCTCTTCTTATATGGATGACCAGTTGCTTGTTGTTAGGTTATTTTGTCTGGGAAGAAGGAGACAGTCTCTCTGGCTATGAGAAATGCTGAGAGATTCCGCACTGAGCTTCTTAAACGCGGAGTCCTTCTAGTTCCTGTTATTTGGGGTGAAGGTAGGGAAACAAAAATAGAGAAGAAAGGTTTTGGTCTTCCTCAAAAGGCAGCCGCTTCTCTCCCATCAATAGGGGTAAGATTGAAGATTTTTAATAGCACTTAATGATCATTATAAACAACTTGATGCTATAGCATGCACATCAAGTTCATGATTCTTGCTTACTTTTTGCTCAAAGTCCAGAAGCATTTTTTTTCCCGCTACTGATCATTGAAATTTGAAAGTCGTATCTTGTTGCTCAAAAAAGCATAATACAATAATAATCTTAATGTTGCATGTATCTGTTTAGGCTTTCTTATTTTTCTCCCATTGCTACTGTAGGAAGATTTTGACCAAAGAACTCAGTCAATAATTGCAAAATCCAAATTGAAGTCAGAGATCCGGTTCAAGGCGGAGACTGTTTCACCTGCAGAGTGGGAAAGGTATCAGCCTTTTCTTAATACACTTGAAACTACTTATCATCTTCATGGGCATTTATGTTTGTGCCGTTTTATCTTAAGGACATCCTGTCGCGCGTAGTTTGATAGACTGAAATTTTTTCCTTGTGCCCATACTGGAAAGGTCTATTTCTTATTGATCGATATTATATCTAACCTCATTTTGTTTCAGGTGGATAAGGGATCAACAGAGGTCTGAAGGTGTTACTCCAGGTGAAGATGTCTACATTATACTTCGTCTAGATGGTCGTGTTCGACGATCAGGAAAGGTCAGTCAGTGCTTGTAAAATTCTTTGTGCTGCAATTCCCTTCTCTGCTCCATTGATTATGACCCAATTAATATTGACCAACTCTGCAGGGTATGCCTGACTGGTCTCAAATTGTGAAGGAACTACCTCCAATGGAAGCAATATTAAGCAAGCTAGAAAGATGATACAAGTTTCTCCGGTTGTGTGCTAAAAGCTTTTCACTACCTGGTGTATTTTGTGTATTTCACTACCTGGTGTATTTTGTGTCAGTCTCCTACTCTCCTTTCTTGAAATATACAAAGGCACTGATTGATGCCTAGCGAGCTCTTGTCCGGCTTTTTGTTCCATTCTTTCACGAACATGTACTGTACAATAAACTCAGAGGCGGATCCAGGATTTAAATCCTATAGGTTCAACTTTTAAGGTTTTTAGCGTTAAACCCATTATATTTTTAAAGTTATGGGTTCATATCTGCTATTTATGCAATTTTAATGAATTTTTACATATAATATTTTACTCCGCGTTGAAAGTTATGGGTTCAGCTGAACCCGTCGGCAACACACTACATACGCCCCTGAATAAACTGATATTTTCCAGATGAATATCAAAGAAGATGAAATTTCACAGCCAATGGAAATCTTAACAATGGAACTAAAGTTACTCTTGTTTTATCTTATACATACTGATATAGTTATTCATTTATTTTGAAGTGAGAGGTGGATCCATGATTGTGAATCAATGGACGCGAAATACCAGTGTATTCATCACTTTTTATAACACTAATGGGGACGTAGCGTATATGTATATATTTGAGAGGTTTTCATCTGCTAGCATTAAGTCGTATATAGTAATTAAGTGCATCCGCCTATGCTTGAAGTCTTTGTTCTTCGGTTTCCTTATTGAATGTTGGGACAATCAACTTGACAAAGAAGAGAAACAAGAGAAGCATTTCTAAGTAATTTCTGCTTTGGTGGTTGACTTCTTTTGGAAATAATAGTAATGTGTTTTCTTGCATACGTTAAAACTGAGTTTGGTTCAGAAATTGTTGAAGGGTCGATCTATTTTTTATTATTAACTAAGTACTTTTTTAATCAAAACGAGAGGATTTAAGCTTGAATTATTCCAACAAGAAGATATTCTAAACCTACTTCAACAAAAAAATAACAACTCTGCCGGGAAGACTTGTGCAATCTGCATAAACTATAAGGTGAAGGGACCAACGTCCAAGATGATTGCCCATTTTATTATTCTATTCCTCCGACAATTTGCATCCCTCCTTTGCCTGCACGGTCACTCTACTTAAATGCATTTATTTAAAACTAGAATACTTATAATTTCAGCAATTTCTTATGGATTATGAAGTATTTAACTGTTACTTTTAAATTAGAACACAGCATACTTAAAACCTTAAGGATAATTGACTTATATATACATGTGATGATTTAATTGCTTGAAGTAATATTTTACATATTTGAAATCTATAAAAGAATAGTCTATTAATCACAATAATATTTTAAAATTAGTCAGGAATAAATTGTTCGACTCCGTTAATAGTTGTGGCATATAGAAAGATTGCCACAACTTTCATTAAAACCAAACAACTCTCAAGAAGAAGATTAGATGATCAATAATAATATAGAAAGATTGACATCATTTTCTTTGGTAGGTTTTGAAAGGTTCATCTGTTTGAGGATGACTAAACTTTCCAACAGCAATAAGGACGCGGTTGAACTGGTAAAAAGGAAATCCATTAGGATAGAAGGTTCTTTCAGTATACCAAGGTCTCATTAAGTCATTATCATCTTATGTCAATTGAAGTTACTATTTTTTATAATCGTAGTGTTCGGGTTAGTTTGTGGATATTTCAACTAATTTCGGGGTATCCTTTCTCTCCCACCAGTACATATATTGGATAATTCTATCCACCAAAACTTGAATAGATGGGAGAAATCACTTAGTGTTCTTGCCCCTATTAGATTTGGACATAAAATCCCGTGGTTCTCAGCTCATTTTATTGATCACTATCCACATTCTTGGATGCTTAACTGAAATTATTTTGTTCTCCAACCACAATCCTTCATTTGGTTTACTTCAAATATTATTATTATGATTGGTTCCAAGATTAGGACAAGTGAACTGAACTAGTGCTAGATCAACACCATACTTCTAATAAACTCTGCTTTCCCCGAAATATCCTTTTTTTCGTATAAATATTTTTCGAATTTTAACCTAAATAAATTCAAGTACCCTTAGTTTACGATTTCTTTTTGTAATTAGCAACACATTATTGATACAAGTGGTCCATGTGGATTCATATGGTGAAAATGTTTTCGAGAATATTGGGATTAGAAGTTTGAGGGTGAAGCCTTTAGATCAGAATTATTAACTATTTCACAATTAATTTCTTTTATTTTCTCCTCCTGACCTTTCTTTTTAACTTATGGTATTAACCTCGAAGCAAAACAACTTTCAGAAGCTAAGCATAAGATCTCAAGTTCACACTTAAACCCTTCCCCTATATATCACCGCGCTCCTTTTCTTTCCATATCAGAGCATATATATTATTAAAAAACTTAAATGTGGGTTCAAATCTTGTCGACAGTAATATTTTTCCCTTTCTTTACCTTCCTTTATTACAAGCTTTTCCCACCCCATAAAATTTTTAAATGAAAAAGAACAAATAAAGAATCAGTTTATGCGTTATCCTTTCCTGCCCGACTATATAACTAAGTATAAATACTTTTTAGGTTCCAAAAAGAATAACGAGCCTTAGAATAGATGATCAATCATTTAACTGTAGTGTAAAGTTAGACGTAAATTGTTAAATCTTTCTAACAAAATGCATGGGCAGAAAATACATAAAAATTACAAACAAAACTTTTCTTTTAATATCTAAATAATTTAGAAAACATTCAATAGTTAAATTTGGGCATACATTATTTTGTGGCAATGGTAGTTTGGTAAATACCAGCAACACGAACACCATTTCACGAAAAAAGCCAAAAATACTTAAAATCCATTGTATCCCGCGCTATTGAGTCGTCGAACTAAAATAGTGGTATGCTAGTAGTAGTTAGAACTTACAACAAAGAGAAAGCAACTAGTAGTAGCTATATTTTCTCTCTCTATATATATATAACTAGGAGGAGAAGAAATATACCATTTACCATTGACAAAGTTGTAGGCAATGGCGAAGTCGTTTAGTTCCATTTTCATCGTCTCTTCGCTATTAATCAAGCTATTGATTATCTCCGTCGAAGCTACCGGCGGCGACTTCGACATGAGCGGATGGATTCCGATGAAATCAGCCGACAGCTGTCAAGGTTCGATAGCGGAGTGCATGGCCGCCGGTGAATTCGAAATGGATTCAGAGAGCAACCGGCGCATTTTAGCAACTGATGATTATATAAGCTATGGTGCTCTGCAGAGAAACACTGTACCCTGTTCTAGAAGAGGTGCTTCCTATTATAACTGCCAAACAGGTGCTGAAGCTAATCCTTATACCCGTGGCTGCAGTGCTATTACTCGTTGCCGGAGTTAACGGTTACGTTATATCGATTTGTGTAAACCGTTTTTATGATTTATCTGCTCTTTGTTGATTAATTAGTATGTAATTGTTTGATTTTACTGTTTTTGGTTAGAATAAATCTTGTATGCGTATGAAAATCCTGTGTTTATAGTTTATATATAGTGTTTTTTTTCAGTTGCTTTCAATAAAGTGATAGTGATCATGTATTTCTGTTTAATGCAATGTTCATTAGTAGGCTTGTTAAGTTCATTCTGGAATTGATTGCTTTTGAGTTCTACATCAAAATTGAATAGTACTAATTTTTTTTTAACTATGATTTTAAATTATTATGAACTATAATAAGATTGTCTTGGTACTTTTATTTAATTTGAAATCTGTAAATTTCTTTTGGAGAAAACTTAAACAATTGATGTCAACATTTAAACTTTTTTTTAATCATAACATTTACACAAATTAGATACACTAGTTTGTCAATTGCCCTGTTTCTTTTTAATGTCAAATAGTTTAGCTAAGGGGTTCAGCCTGGTTCAGCGACACATCTATTTGCTTTATCGCCTTATGAATTGGTAGCGTTATAAGCAGTGATGCTCTTATGTAGTTGAAAATTAGGTGGAAGATGACTAGATGAGTAATCAGGAAAGGCCCACGACTTTGGCTCAATGTAAGAGCGTGTGCACATCCCGAGTTCGAATCCTGAATTGATATTTAACTGGAGATAGCGATGCATATTTTCCACCAAACTTCAAACAGTATAAAAGAAAACAATTATTATGTATTAGGAAGGATAACTTAGGGAACATAATTTCTTTTTGAGGGCTATCGAACTTTCTGAATTTTAGCCCAAGAATTGACTTTTCGAAACATTAAAAAAGGTCATATATTTTGACAGAGAATTAGGAAAGGGGAGTAACCTGTTGGCATAACATATGAAGATTTTGAATTAATTTTTATATCTTCCATGACCATAAGTTTTGGATAACTCTGCTTATCAAAACATAGGTAGATGAAAAACATTTTTCGAACTACGAATATTTTACATCAACAGTCGCAGGCAAAACGCAGCCATCCTCCCAGCCACTTGAATCTTGAGTTTGTGGCTAGATCACCTACTGTATGGGTCAAAATCGGACTTAGAAAATCAGGCGTGAGAGGGTCGTTAAGTGAGAAGAGGTCGACTTTGGGCGGCAAAGCCGAGGTCGACCGAAGCCCAATAACGAGCAGCCGTTGAGCAAGCCGCTGAAGCTGAGGTCGAATAGCAAGGAGTAGGAATAACGGCTAGTGCAGTCTGGGGACTAGAGATGGCAATATTCTCTTAAATATTCCCTTTGTTGTACTTTTTAGGGTTTTTAGAGAACATCCCATATAAATAGAAAAGGAGAGAGAGAGGAAAGAGGCACGTGAGATTCATTCTAAAAAAAACTATTGTACGAAGTTGACCCTTGAGAGAAAATACAAAGTTCACCTTTCCATAGTGATTGATTTTATTGGTTACTCTTCCCTTGCACTCACTTGATCCAAGAAACCATTGTTCATCTCCTTATCTATTGCCATATTTTGCTGTCAGAAGGAAGAATCTTCCACATCATTTGATATTTGGGTGAATTGTTCTTTCTATTTATATTTACTACCACTTTTCATATTTATTGCTCATCATTTATTCTTCATTATTCTCCATGGTGCGCATTTAATGATTGAATACACGACTCTGAGCACTAAGTAAATGATATCACTTAAATTCTTAGCTAGATCTAAGAATTATTATGCTTGACTAGGATTCACCTTTTGCCTCTGTTATCTTTTAATTAGTTTAACAAAGAGTACTATACTTTTTGGCCAAACAATTTGGCGCCGTCTGTAGGGACTTTCTAGTCAATATCATAGTCTTTCTAGATCTACAAAAAGACACCAATAGCAAAGTTTCTTTCCCCTACTTGCATAGTCTAACATGGTAGGAAATGAAGAAGAAAGACTAAAAGCAGTGGCAGGCCTTACTACTAATCTCCTAAATACCATCAATGAAGCTCACGGAGAAGACGAGGAGAATGTGACGCCGAACGCCTCACCCAGGCGAAGTGATTCAACCCCCCCCTCCCTCCAGTCGCGACGTCGTACCGTCTCTCCGTAGAAGAGACGTCTCTACGTCCACGTACGGAAGAACGCACCAACCAAAC